AAAAAATATATTATATCCTGTTCTTATAACAAAAATAGACAAATTTGCCATTCTTTACAAAATCCTATGAAAACGTTACATACTAAAAATAAAACATTTATGTATGTATGTTTACATTGAAATGTTTTATTATTTTCAGATAGATTGAGTAAACACGAAGGAAGCCTTATGTATTCCTCTTATCTCCAGTTCATTCTAACAATAAGCATATTACACAGATGGTTAGAGAGCTGATACATTCACCAATGATAGAGTGACGCAGTGCAGTAAAGTAGGAAGTTTGGGTCCTATCAGTTCAGATAACGGGCTAAAATGAAGCCTTATTCAAACATAAAAATTTCCTATACTTTTCTTTCCCGTTCTTTACCTTTCTGGGGTTATAATTGATAAGTTATCTGTCAAATATTCATTGACATTATAATAACATTTTTTTTACAAGTGTTTTTTTGTATGTTATGTAAATATTTTATCTTTTTTTATATTTTTCAAATATTACTGTAGTTTGTTATATATTTTTATCGACGTTGCCAGAGGACGAGATGAGTGCAAACTAAGTTTGGAGTCTTGAAGAATTAATCTGTTTTGCAATCGTACAGAATAATTATGTTTAATATACTCTTTTTTATATAAATCAGGATATTTGCGAACGAATTTACATACTTCCAATATATAAATATATGGAAGAGTTTGTATCTGATTATTGATGAATTGATTTTTACAGCTATCTCTTTGTTTTATATTAGTCGTTTTTTTGAAGATTGAATTCGCTAGACCAGTCACTACTATTTCCCCATAAAATAATCAATAGACATAATGTAGACAAAAATTCGAAAACTACCTTTTTCTGAAGATAAACGTAATACAAAGCAACCCCGCATTTTAAAACAGCTGGCCTATTGCGGCGAATTCTTGAAGTGCCTACGACGTGTTATAATGATGGGCTAATCAAGATTAATACCTAATTTCATTGCTATCATTGTTATAATCGTATAATCGTAGTTGACGCCAGTAATGTGTCACTTTCTAATTTCATTTGTTTAATCCATTACCTACATTTATTACAATCAATTGTGTTCTAGTGAAAATATCTTAGGACGTAATACTCATCCATATACTTCATAGAAGACTGGCAAACGAACATTTTTTTTTATTTATCGTCCAATACAACTCGTATGGGATGCATGAGGAGTGGTAATTGAGTCTAATGAACATATTGTGCTCAGTGATATAGACAAGATCTGCATAGTCGGTCTTCGAAACTGTCGTGATTAATTCTTGGTAAACTTAGCATGATGGGCCTGATTTCATACCTTAATTTTTTCTGATGTTCCTCAAGCCAACCCCAACCCTAAATTTTTAATATCGCATATAAGCGACGGTTGCTACTTACTATCAGGTAATCCGACAGCTTGTTTGGCTTTCCATTTACATAAAAAAACGAAACGAAAATAGTATGATTGTTAGCCTAATTATTTTATCCAGTGACTAATTAATTTGTGATTCAATTTATACGTATTAATAATATACGTACATATATACATAACGTATTTACAGGACTTGCTGCGTATTATATACGTGATGTATTATAATACAAAGTATATCTTTTTTTCATAATTGCTTTATAATACGTCACTCACTTTTTTTGTCTAGTTGGCTGCATAAACAAAGTAACAATACTATTTTTTAAACGTTTTATTAATACCATTTCTATTACGTATGCTTTAAAATGGGGAATTAACATATTTATTGTACCTACATATACAGTTTCTTTAGGAGTGCATGTTTGGTATTTCCCCCATTCATAATATAATAAAAAAAATTATAGTATAAAATTTTGAACACTTACCAATTTCTACTAGATTCATTTTGTTTGTCACTCCGCTTACATACATTTTTTACGAGTTTGATGAACCAGTCATTGTTTTCAGCAATATTTTTCGGAGGCAAATACCATACCTTCATTTTATAATTTATTTTATAAAACTACTTTAAATACTACTATTTTTAATTTCACGATATAACCAATCTTATTATTTTTGCTAAATATTAAATGGTAGTTAGTATATAAATGTATTTTGCATTAACATAAACCAACTTTTTTGTCATTACACAGTATAAAACAAAGTCGCTGTCTGTCTGTCCCTATATATGCTTAAATTTTTAAAACTACGCAACGGATTTTGAAGCGGTTTTTTTAATAGATAGAGTGATTCAAGGGGAAGGTTTATATGTATAACACACGTACACCCGGGCGAAGCCGGGGCGAGTAGCTAATAATAAATAAATGAAAATATAACCAAGATTGATATTTATAAAGTGCATATCACGAAATAGTGACTGAAATGGCCACATGAAGTGCAGTCCATACTAAATTGCGGCGGAAACTGTTTCTACTCGATGCACGACGGTCTACAAATCGGATTAATCTACAAGACATGACATATTGGGAATCCTTATCAAAAAATAATATACAGAGAATACAGACCCGTTTCCATATAATTAATATATGCGTAGATGACGTAAGTTGGCTTTCATCATTGATAAAAAGTTTTGTTTATAAAAAAAATACTTATCTAATCCAAACTTATATAGTGTCTATCTTAATAAAATTATCATGAAGGTCTTCTGTGAAACGCAAATCCATTTAAATTTGCTTCAATATTTACAAAAAGGAATTGGATGTTAACGTCATACATGACACAACGAAATTAATAATAAAGGAATAATCACAATTGCTACATCATACTGCTAAATATAGTTCTCAACACATATGTTCTCATTATGTCATAAACTACGGTCCTAAGCCAACAGAATCCATCGACTCTTGCAACACTGTAGGGGTCCTAACACCGTCGCTGGTGTCGTCGCTGCATTGTCATTACTAACAATAAGACACACGATTTTTCCCCTGGCGTTTAATGGTAAACTGAGCTTGTGACTGCCTCGTTGACACTTTACTTTCCTGATGCTTTGGACTATGTCGGTTATGTTTGTTATTTTAATTTCGTTTTCTACCGCGAATACAAACTCCGAACGTAGCTACACTTCTCACGAAAATTAGGGTAACAGATTTTTTTTCCAAATTTATGGCTGATTTTCAACAGACTCTATTTCAGTGAAAAATGGCCGTACAGAAAGATTAAAAATAAAGCTCTTGAAGCTCGAACAGTCTAGTTTTCAGATTTTATGGCTAAAAATTTTTATGAGCACCGGTTCTCATGCAATCCTGAGATGAAGCGCGAAAATGTTTCTTTATCAATTTTATACATTTTGTTTTTTACTCTATGGCCATGGAAAAAAATTTTTGAGCTACGCCAATTCAAATCATATATTATATAGCCTGTTTATTCAGCTTCAAGCTGCTTTTTTCAGGACCCCGATACGACCATTTCTCTCTGAGATATCGAATTTTGAATGAAAAAGGATCCTTTTTCATTCAACTACCAATATCGCTGTAACTACTGGTCGCACCGCGAATAGACAGCGATTTTCATTTGTAGAAAATTTACTTTAAAATACAGTCAAGCGTTAGTGGAGAAAAGTTTTTATTTAACGCTAATATTTCATTGAAAAAAATAAAAAAAAATGAATCTTTCCCCGTTTTTGGTTAATTTGTTGGTAATTGAATGATATGGGAGGGAAAGCTAAATGAACTGAGTTTTTATCCCTTAACCTGACGTAATCTCTTAAAAAATAAAAAAAAGGGTTAGTTTTGAAAATAACAGTTTTTTTTTTATGTAAATGTTATGTACTATTTTAAAAAATAATAAGTTGAGTTTCTTCCCAGCTTTTTACCTGTAATAGCTAGCTGAACGTGCACAGGCTTATATGAGCCATCACCTTGTTAGACATTAATAAAAATACTCTTCGTCTAAAATACTTCATAAAACTTAAGATGCAAACTTTAATTTGAATATTAGGCATTATCTTTGTCTAATCCATCTTAATTTTAAAACCTATCTGTTAATCTTACATATATACGTAATATATTTACGTCACTCCTGTCTTTAGTGTAGTCTAGGCGAACACCAAACGCACTTGTTCAAACAGCTTGGGGGTTAGAAGGCAAGTCATGGCGATTATATCGGTTTCTTTACTAGCTTGTTCGTGTCAGGTCCACCGCCCCCTGGGAAACATTGCACAATTTGTTTATTTATAATAAATATATAAATAAACAAATTGTTTGTTTGTTTATATATTTGTTTTAATATATGATCTTATATGGACACTGAATTAATTCGTCTATTTTCATATTTCACTAGTTCTTTAAAATGCGAAACCACTAAGCAGGCGGACTTAATAATAACATTCTCATTTTAATGTAATATAAATTGCTTCTGATTTGCGGCACGTTCCCTTAGTTTATCAATACACGAAATTACTAAGGTGTGTTTGATAGTAGTGGGGACAAGCGGCCCCCACACAAAATTTGAACCCATGAACTCAATCTTTGAAGTGTATGTATCAATGGCAATAAAAAAATATTAGCCCACTTCGTTAACATAAACAACGGAAATCATATCTGCAGTTTCAAAACAATATTCAAATTTTTCATACAGTTGCTTTTCTTTAAATGCACCGCCTATAAATCTTCGGTACGTAGTTCTGCAGTTTGTTTACCTTATGTGTATATGAACACTATAAACGGATGAATATACTGCGGGCTGTTATCAGCATCGAGGCAACGATGCTTACTCTACCAAGCGCGTTTAATAAATACGACACTATACGTAAGGCGCCTGTTTGTATTGTAAGACTTGAAAATATTGCCAATAATAAATATACACCACTCCATTGTATTTTCAAGACTACGTGGTGCTAATTGTAATCTGTGAATGTAGTACTTTAGTACTGTTTGGTTTTGAAGTGAAACACTAAGCACTTATCGCTACTTGGTATTGGTGACGTTAGTGCGTGTCGCCGCGCGTGTTTCATAGTAGGCAGGCATAGGGTCGGCTGCTTGCTATCGTTCGCCTCGCCGGTCACCAGTGCCGCGCGATCAGCTCGCCCGCATGGTACATGCTCGGTTATAATATTGAATATTTTTTTAGTTTCGCTAATTGAACAAACATGCCAGTTTATTTACAGTGACGTTGTGTGAAATTAATTTACGTACGTACTATGTCGGTGGAAAACTGCCATTGATTTGTACACAGGTGAATAAAACGTAAGATACACACGTATATAACGCATAATATAAAACGTTTAGTTGTTCGTTGACGGAAAAGCTAGTCTTGTACTACCTACTGACCGTTAGGCGCCTTTAAAGTATTGGATTGATTATCTTTTTATGGTTAAATAGTATGGCCTCTATAGTGGGTAAAGATTACTTTGATTGTATGCCTTAGATACCATAAGAAGGTATATGACTTATTATTTGCTTGAATTACAAAGGCAAATACGGTTTCATTTGCCAATTTACCAAGGGTTGAGGTTATTTCATTTGCATTTAAATTTTTGTAAATGACCATATCTGTAACGATATAAGTACAACATTTTTACATTTGTGTTCAGGACAACATTTTTAAATATTTGTATTTTTATATTCATACTCCATATCTTTCTAAATTCTACTCCATTTAATTATTATGGTGTACTCTCTCTTTTACTGTTGACTTGTACGCTTTTAACATATTATATTTGTCTCTTGTTTTTCTGTTACCGTCATTGTTTGTTGCATCTACTCCTGCTTTTGATATGATGTTGTAAAATACTTAATTTTTTAGTTACTATACCACAACATTTACTACATTTTTAACACTTTTTGTAGCAGGTACCTGTTTTATAACAAAACCTAATTCAATATTAAACTGAATGTTCTTACATTCTCTTCTCTTTAATTATAGGAATCTCTTCATTCCTATTGGTATAATTAAAGAAACTTATCATAGGACTTATGTTCAATATTTAAAAATAAATTGAGGAAATAAAACAAATGGAATAATATTTTAAATATTCGGTACTGAGTAGTAAAACTTTAGTCATTAAAGTTAATTAAATGTTTTTGACAGCAATTCAACAAATCGCCTTTTAGATTTTTTATATTAACTATAAGAGGTTTTCGTTAGCATTATTTAATTATGGATTTGAATGTGTATCTGTAATAAAAGTAACATGAAGTAGATAGAAATTTTCGTAGTGTAGCCGTTCAAAATTCTAAACTAAATATCTGAATCTAATGTACTAAATCTATGAACTGTTTGTGTGTGTGGTGCCACGGGCTTCACAATATATTTTGTGGTGTCTGTGGTCAGCACCACAAAATATATAGTACACTGTTCATGCTTGCAAGTTACGATTCCCACACATAATAGTGATATTTCCAAAATGTCTTATTTTGACGCGTAATTTCGATTTCTGTTAATACTGTTTGTTCTTAATCTATTGTAAAACATAAGTATATATGTATGTTAAGTTAAGTACAACATGCAAAATAAAATGCAGAAATTGCAATATCATATTTTCTTATAGATTTTTTCTATGACTAAAACTCTCCGTTATTTACTATGAATATTCAATGAATTAAATTATCGAGCTATAATTCACAAAGTAATTAGACTCTAGGGAATGAAATTCTACACAATGATAAGCTAATTGTTTTTACAATTTCTTTTTCTAGATATATATTAATAAATAATCATAAAGGAGTTCCTATCCTATTCTATTTGTTTACTGATCAATCATACCGTCATATAGTATTAAGTGGTGTACAGTTAATACTGACTAACAAGTTAGTAAATACATATTATATCGTCTTTACAGTACTTTAACTACTTGTTAGTTAGTACTTATTATAATCATGTGTGGTTCAGTGCACATTGTTATATTCGGCCCAACCAAATATTTCAAATAGTAGCTAATGACGTAATGTTGTTATGCTTATAATAATAGCGGCGATAGTTCAGTTTGAAATGACCTCGACTCCTATTTCAGAGGCCGTAAGTTCGATATGTACTTGTAATGTTCGGTTTATGATATGGTTATTTGGATGTCAATGAACACAAATCAATTAGCCATACTTACATAGGCTAAAGTACAGGCTGAAACGGACAAAAAAATTTAATAATTACGAATCTGTATGTGGCCAACGGCAAGCATTTGATTTGTTTTTAAATCTGTTGTTAATTAATGCAAATATAACAACCGAGTTTCTACAAGAGAAGCTTAGTACATTATAAATCACGAAACCTTAAGACCCACTGAACACTATTTCATCTAATGCCAGACATTCACTTGTATAGTTGACATTTAAACAAGAATTGTTTGTACTTGTAGGCATTCAATAATTCAGTACTAGATATAGCGCCGCATCTCCCGCAATGATGTAGAATTTAAATACAAAAAATGGGTCAAGTACGATTCAGGTTTGCGTACCGAAGGTTCCGTGCGCGTTGAAAGTAATTATCACTTGTATATCATGTTGTAGGCACAGTTGAAATTTATGACGTCCAGGAGAATGATTGAATAATATTTTTATTATACTGGTCATTATTTTATTGGAGTTTCAATAACCAGAGTACCGTAAAATTATTAAGAATTGTGTTGTGTATATTGATGAAAATTTACAATGTTCTGACATTGTTCTCAAATTGATTACCAGTTATATGTAAAATTATTGTGTGGATGACAGAACTGACACATATTATATGACATTTAAAGGATTGTGATCCTTTACATTTGAGGATGCCATCCGTCTTTACTTATAATATTATAAATGCAGAAGTAACTCTTGTCTGTCTGTCGCGCTTTCACGCCAATACTACTGAACCGATTTAAATGAAATTTTGAACGTCGATAGTCTAGACGAAAAAGCGAAAAAAGGGTTTTACGGGGTTGAAAGGGGAAATGAAAGGTTGTATAGAAGTATCGTAATTTTTTAAGGTAGAAGTTAGGATATGCTGTATGCTATTAAAATATTCGCTTCAAAGAAGTAAAATAAAATATGGGATGTAAGTTTAGATACAAATTCGTTATTTTTTAAACTACAACTTTGAAGCTTTTTTCTTTGGCTTTTTATAATTAACCTAAATAATTAAAATTGCTATCCAAGGTCACTATTCCAAGGGGACGAAGTCGCTGGCACAGCTTAGTTCATTATAATAGTCAAACGACAACAATGAACAAAAAATATATAAAGCGCTATCTATTATTTTATTAAGAAATTAATTACAAAATCGTAGGTGACGTATTGAAAACATAAAGAAAAATATCTTAAGCTTTTGAGGACTATTAATTCCAATTTTTTGTGTAGGTATATATTGACCAATATGTTGTTAAATACAACATATTCTGTGAAAAATTTCAATCTGTTCGCTGCTGCCGTTTGTACGATATATGTCCAGGGGTCTTCACAAAACTTAATTCGTAAAATAATTGATCTGTTGATACATGTTGATTCTTACTCCGTTTATTAGTTTTGACATCAATTACGAGAAAGATATGCACATGATAATATTAAAAATTACATCTATATTTAATCTCAATCTCGGGCTGTCGGTTGGATATGTACATAAATATATATCTTCAGAGCGTCGGCGCTCTTTTTATATTATCTTCGTTTGTACATAGATTAAAAATTGATTTTTGTTAGGTCGTTAACTGTAGTCGTACTTGGCATGATAGATCATTTAGATTTTAGCTTGACTTTGACATCGATATCATTAGGTCAGGTGATATATTTAAGATACATTTTGTACTTATGTCTGTATATATCTATACTTTTTCTAAACGTTTATTTCCATAAAAGATTAAATGAATAAATACAGTATAGAATTATCTAATAGAATAATAAGAATATATCTGTTGTTAGATCTAAAATAAGCCTGAATTTGTTATACGTTACGACCACTAAAAGGATGAATGAATCTTAAAAAAAATATTTATTAAATTTTTTCTATACATCTAATCATATAAATAAAATTGGAGTGTCTGTTTGTAATATTAATATAATTTTTTTTTTACAACATGCATATGAATATAAATACGGTACATGCACCAAAATAACATTTGTACGTGTAACACGTAATTGTCTCAGGCGTTCCAGTTAAAAATCGATACGTGAGTGTGTTCATAGTAATAATGGAAATATAAAAGGAATAAACAATAATGAAAATAAACATTTTATCATTAGTAATTTATTTGAGTCTACATGTTTCCGAATGAATAGATAAATGATATTTTTCTCAACTATCTAGATAAAATCCTAAAATTTACGAAAACTGATGTTGTATGAGAAAAGAAGCAATTAAATTTAGATATACGAGCCGGAAGGCCAACAATCTGACTGAACAATATGTTAAAATAAGTTAATTCTCTAAATTGAATTGAGAATCTTACCCGTAATATTATTTACACGAAGTACGTGCTAACAAATGACCTAGGGCGCAAATTGATTTCTTATTTGCAATTTTGTAACCGGTTTTTCTTGGTTCTTCTTATTCGGTTTTATATCAGGGTTACTTATAAATTGCGAGGGTGTTCGTTTTTTTAGGCATAATACAGCCACATATTAGGCATATATTAGCCATAATATTAACCATGCAGCTACTAAAGTTGTTACTTAGTATTTATTTTCTTACTTTATGCAAATATTTCTTGTTTTGTTTAATTTGATTCTATAGCCAAATATAAATTTATACATAAAAATATTAACATAAGTTTATTTGATTGATTAATAATCCCGTTGTTTGACCTGTTTTGATTTATCTCAATCATTTTAATTTGACTTCTTTGTCATCCGCTGATAATGTTTTGATTTATCTCAACTTTTGATTCTTTTTCAACTTCACAAGTTCACAACTTCATAAGAAATCATCAACACTTCAACATTCTCAACCTATATGAATTTAATAAATGTCATAAATATCTAAACATATATCTCCTTTCAAATTTCAGTTATTCACTTTACCCAAGTGAAAATTATATTTTATCCGAAGATAGGTATATAAGAAATAATAAAACATAATCCTGTTCTAGTACGGCAAATTAGACTAACAAAAAAACGGATGTGTTACCAAATAGCACAATGCTGACGACATCACAATCGTTCGGCGTTAATATTAATATTGCTAACAGGTAACAAAATGTTAAATTCGAAACTATTAGACCCATGCTCTCTGTGTACAGTGTACAGCAACAATAATAATTTAATGTTTACAAAGGCTGCTACGTTACTTTCAAGGTTTTATTAGGTCGCCAATATAAATAAACGCTATTAAGATTTTTTAGTATCTTTTACAATTCAAATTATACTAATAAAATTGCAACATGTCTCATCCGAATTATTTATTAATACTAACTAATATATCGTATTTGTTTAGTAAACTAAAGCAGTTATTTATATTATTTATATTCTATAGCTAGAATCCCGTGAAACTCTCGTGGCAACCGCGTATATTAGAATAAATATTGCTATAAATATTAGCAGTTATCCCTCGGCATTGAGCATTCACGTTGTCTAGAAAATCAGATAAGATAAAAAAGTTATAATTTTATTTTACCACCTTTGTATGCAATGCTTTCTCTGCGTAGCGGGAATATTTTATGTATTCTGGTAACACTAGTTTAACATGACATTTATGTGACTTGCTTGATGATGCCACTTCTTTTTTAGTGAATCTGCAAATAGTATATTTGCTTACATTTTATACAAAACTTTTAGTTATATATGCTTACATTTTATACAACATTCCAGCTCTCTTTGACGGACAACTTCCTTTATTTCTATGTCAAATAGTCAAAACTTGCACAGGAAGATTAGATACGAAATGATTAATATCAAGCGGAAGAAGTTTTTGATAATTGTAAATATTATCATTATATAATTATCTTATATCAATATTAATTACTAAAAAATACGTCTATTTGTTCACTTTTATCTTCTACCTATCAAGTAATGTTCTCGATTTAATTCTGATGAATATTTATGATCTCCGTTCCCCAATTATCTCGTTAGTTACAATGTACGCATATTGCGAAGATGTCTTCGACCCGTTCTGTAAAGAACATAATCGTTGCGCCACAAAGCTTGACCTCGCGCCTCTATTGTTAAAGAGCAATGGACACGAGTACGACTTGGAGTTGCTAGCTGTAACAGCAATCGTGCTCAAATTACCGACCACATCACGAGGTGTTGTTAAACCTGTCCGCGCTATTATGCCAATTGTGAACATCTAACGGTAACAGAATAACAAATCTTTTCGCTTCATCAATTACTTTCTTCATGTTAATAAACCACAAGATTGAATAGTTACTATTAAAGTATTCTGGACAAATAATATTTTGATTGCTGATTTTATTATTTTTTATTATCTAATTAATGACGATTGTATCGAATTACGTAGCAAATCCCGCTGGTCTATTGAATCGCGTCATGAACTGAACCGCTTGGTACAACACCACCGCCCACGGTCGGTTACTGGATGCGCGCCGACACCGCTTCGCATCCGTCCTGCTGTGATTGATAAACCAAATTGACATCATTACCGTGGGAAATGTGGGACACAACGCGCTTTTTGCTTCAACCAATCTCCGGAATAGGCTTATTAGGCTTTGAAACCGCAGCTACGCTGCATTGTTGAGATATTGTGCCGAACGTGCCACAATACTGTAATACTCTACGACTAATTATACTATACCGAAACGTTATTCGCGTGTCCTCATTTTGAGTTGCTATGGTGCCTATTATAATAATCTCTGAAGTTATTATGCCACGCCATTTATGTTATTAACTTCTTAATGAAGGCCACCACCAATTAAGACAATTACGTGTACGAATTGTCATGAAATCACTTATTAAGTAGTAACTGTGGGCGAAGAATATCCTTGATCTTGTGTGCGTAATATTACATGCTACTTTATTCAGTCATCACAGGATTAGTGTTGTCTAATATCTACGGAGATCTAAGGTTCTAAGGTTTTGAACCTACTGCTATGCCTGTTCTATTTACTATTTTGTTACTATAATTACTTATAATAATATGTAATAACATATTATTATAAGCAATTATAGTTGGTAAAAATAAGTATTTGTCATGTTTTCTTCATTACATAATAGCTACTTAATTTACATTGTAATGTTAATCTTACAGTGATGTAATGCCATTTCAGTTATAGTCTGTTGTTGTAACACGTTTAGATAAAACCTCTGACTTCTATTTACTATAGACAATAGAAATATAAGTAACTACGGAATAGTATGATTTCGCTTATTGGCTCCGCTAATTCTAGTATATGTTTAACGATATTACTGTGAAATGTTTCTATTTGTCCTTCACATACTATGCCAATACCAACAACAGAAACACAGCAAGAACTAAATACTGTTTATGAAACTTGTCGACACTATTAGAAGGTCGTCATCCCCGTTGTTTCCATAAAAGGATCCGAATACCGCCTTATTAATATTCATATAGATACTTTAGATATCCTCCTTATAATATATACTCTCATTAATATGATAATTAATTCGATTGTTCTTGTATTTTTTCCAAGACTATGTTGTGTTAGTTTAATTAGAGCAGTCACTAATTGAATTTTAATAAGGTACCAGTAGTAAATGAAAATAATATGTAATAGTAAATGTATGGACTAGTATCGTGCAATGAACGATCGGTTATCGATAAGTGAGAGGGGGAGGGATTGGAGCAGGCGCGCGGGCGTCTCTGCTGGTGGGAGGCATTTGACGGTGATGTAAGAGCGACTGGCTCCGGCGGTGATGTCAGCGCGGCCCACGCCTCCCCCCCCCCCCCCACCCCTTCTCCTCCTCTTCCACTCCTGCCCTCGGTCCGGACCTGCGCCGCCGCAGCAAAGCCTTCCGCAAGCTTGGACTCCTTTAAACGATCGCTGAAAATTGCATGTTACATTATTAGTATAGTTAGTACCCACAGATCAATTCGCGTAATTTAATGACGCTCATTTTTTTTTACATTTATAAACATTATTAATGCAGGTAAAATAACTTTTACTAATTATTATAGTTTTTTTCAATACAATACGATTTTTGGAGTTGCAGGGACCTCCAAAGTTTCCGGTGTAGTAATAATTTTCAATATCTAATATTGAAATTTATTATTATCTTATATTGAAAAAATGAAGAGGATTTGTTTTGTGCAAATTCATTTCTCTACAACTTTTATTTAAAACATTTCATATTTCTTACCATTATCGGGTTATTTCGCAACAATTCAGGTGTAGTTTCTTTGATTCTGGAACATTAAAAACTAAACATTTTCGGTCTTATTACAAAAAAAAAAAGCGTTTACTACCCCTTTCCCTTTTTCATCCCTTACCCGTCAATTTTAATCAAATTTTACTACTGTATTTATTTGAATTTCAAATGCATTTGTAGTTTCCGAAATACAAGTAGGTATAGTATAGATGGACGGAGCAACAATTCAGGTGTAGTTTCTTTGATTCTGGAACATTAAAAACTAAACATATTGATTTCTGTTATAATATAGTGCTTACCTAAGTTAATGTATTCAGTAAAGTAAACATATACAATGTTTTTACATTTTCAAACTTGTCACTTATTTTTTGCCATATTACAAATATATGATACTAGCTACTCGCCCCGGCTTCGCACGGGTGTACATGTATTATCCTTCCTCTTGAATCACTCTATCTGTTAAAAAAAATCGCTTCAAAATCCGTTTCATATTTTTAAAGATTTAAGCACACATAGAGTCGGAGACGCAGCGAGAGCGACTTTGTTTTATACTATATAATGAAGAACAGATGATTGAAGGTTAAGCGAAACTGTTAAATGTAGGTTAAACATATTGCATATTAACAAGTGAAGCAGTTGAACCTCCACGATATTGTTACCGCAATGCAGTCGACCGTAGCTCACCAAGTAGACCGCGACTAATACTATTCAAGAGCAAAATAGTAAATACTAGTAATCAGATCATTTTGCCATTTTCATTGTATCATACATACATATTTCCTTGGTCATTTACATTAATGATCTCACAATGATTAACCATGCTCCATTTATTATTTGGTATCAATAATATTGTTTTTTAAGAATCGACCGCCTTAATGCTTGATACTTCGATGCGATGCTTCTATTTCTATTTCCAGCATAAGTTTCGTACTAACTTGATCAATGCTGAAGTCGGTTTTATGCAACTTTTTTTTTACTATACTGTCTATAAAAACTTATTTTGATTGAAGATTACGTTGTATTAGTGACTGGCTATGTATATATTATTTTAAATTCAAATTAGATCACTACACGAAGTCGATATATTGCTAGAATATAAAATCTTTTTTTATTGACGAGTATAAGTTTTACATTGAACATGAAAGATTAGAAACACATATATGTTATGTTTTTTGCTAAAGTTAATGCATAAGAATATTTGATGCAAATATATAAATTATTATTTCTGAATTAAGTAAAGCAGTTCCGATCCATACTTATATTGTTCTTATTGTGGTTTGCAAATGATATCACTAATTAATTAATCACAAATTAAGTTAAATCATAATGATGATTTGATCACTTATATACATAAGATTGTCGAAACGGTCAGTCGGTATTTTAATATGTATTAGATTATTATCAGTGACTTGTTTTATTCACCTGTGTCAATATAGAATCAAGTTTTTTTAAATCTTAAGTATATTGTCAATGTTTCAACTATTAGACAAAGTTATATCGAAACACATAGTGATGGCATTGTTGGGAATATTATACCCTAAAATTTATGAACTACAATTTTCCATAGACTTATGAGTTTATTATAGAAGCTAACATGGGTTTAAAATGAAACAGTGATTTTATGTTGATGGTGACGTGATTCCACATAAATATGGATGAGAATATACACTGAGTGAAGTGTGAATCCATTGTTGCTGACTATGGAGGGTGCTATTCTGAGCTCCGCTGGCAACAACAGGTTTCGAACTCATCTGAAGAATGCTGCGAGCGCTCTTTGTGCCAGGACGCTGCCGAAGCAGCGGCGCAGTGAGCTGACCTCTACGAGTAGCGTTCGTCATCACACGTATCCTCGAGCTACGCCCCCTAAACGGCCATCAATCTCCTGCTGTCGGGAACCACTAATGTGCGACTCACAACAGCAGCCTAATGCTTACGAGATTTCAGGATATGTACAATCTGATGTCACAACAGGATATATACAATCGGATGTCACTGATTTTTCAATATCTAATAAAGCCAATGGGACTATCAAAGGAGCTTTCTCGAGGTATGATTTTAATATTATTAGCTATTCTATTGTCCACAGCTTTATAAATAAGTAAATAAGTCGAATTAGTGGATTTGCATCGAAGTACTTGTAACAGCACTTTTAAATTCTATTCGGTCTATGAATTTAGACAGTGACAGCGACAGTGAAATTATAAAACTAGATTATTAGATATTCTTATCTGTGCTGTGTTGAGTAGGTAAGCAAGAAAATTATTGTTTATATATAGAGTTCATTGATTGATCGATCACACCCTGACTTAAATGTCTCGTCTGTATTTCTTTATTTTATATCACAAAATCTTAGTACTTACTAGTACTACTGTAATGTGTATTGTTATCATACACATTACAATAGTACTAGTGTACCTTTGGGACTTCCGAGTGACGTACTCAAATTCGCGTGGCAGATGCCATAGTAGTTGGGTCAACAACACCAGTATGACATCATGGGTACTTGTTTACCCAAGTCGCGGGGTAGAGGTGATGTCGCTAATTACGCCGCCACACCAATTGTTGATTTAAATGCGCATTTATTGTGTACATGTCATGTTTATTTTTTGTAGAGTTAAGTGATTAATGATCGTTTATTGTGGACACTATAAATCGTATTAAGATCTTTAGACATGTGCCACCACCAATATGTGATTGCAAAACCCGTAATAGTTGATTTCTCTTTGTACTGTTCTCTTTTTTATAATTATTGGTATTATAATATAGGAAATTAATTATTAACTCACAAATCACATAATGATCCAGATTTCCATGTACCCGCTAAATGATCTTCAGCATTTTGGCAAACAAAAATTACAAAACATATTTTAAAAATCAGCAGTAAATTATCTTACTTCAACTAATACCAACTCCATTCATTATTGAAGTAAGTTTTATCATGTGGGTACGCCACATGATAAAACTTACTTCAATAATGAATTAATGGTTGGACTATTTCGTAATCGTAAAACTGTTTCGTTTACTTTTTTTGTTTTTAATAAAGTATTTGTGTGTGTTAGTGTCCTCGGACTCAATTGCTCGGCGGGAGATTGCGCTAGGGTTGCAGTACAAATTTTTTGACGCAAATTTGACACTGCAATCCACCTGCGAACGCTTGTACAGTGTAACCATTTTTACGCTACCCATTGCACATAGGGTAGCGACACTCCCGTCCTTTTCAGGGCGGTTACCTGCCCTTTTCAGGGCGGTGTTTCTCCCGCCCTTCTCAGGGCGGTGTATTCCTGCCCTTCTCAGGGCGGTGTATCCCTGCCCTTCTCAGGGCAGTATTTCCTGCCCTTCTCAGGGCGGAGGTCCACAAAGGCCTGACGAGGCCCAACAGCTTCTGCAGTTCCCGACGTGCACCACCGGCCTGCCGTAAGCGCCCGTGCGCATCGCGTCCGCGAAAAGGTTAGGTAGTGGGGTTCCAGCCCCCACACTACCCTCTCCAACCCCGCAGGTGACGCCTCACGGGGAGGACAAGTGCACCTGCGTAAGGTTGGTTGGGGCGCGGCCTGAACCTCCATTTGGGCCATGTCGCTTTCCCATATTGTTCACCCTCTCGCAGGGTAAATGTCCCAACGGGGAAAAGCCCCCCGCAAACCCCCCAACAGGGGAGACCCCCGCACAGTTGTGCGTCGGGATCTCTCAGACCCGACAAAAATCGTCCCCACTACAGAACTGGGGACGTTTTACGCTCGCCCAGCACCCAAGGGCAATCCCTCTGCCCTCGCGGGAAGCGGCAAGGCGGAGGGAACAAGGCCGCACAACCCGGCCCCTCAAAACGGCGCACGCCACCGTCGCCGCCCATAAGAGGCGACAAGAGGAGGAACCTCGAGGAGTCCCCTCCGTCTGATCTCGACCTAGAAAGGTCACCACCGAGGCCGCAAATGCGCCTCGTGGACAGGGACTACCAGCCCCTGTCCGTGTCTAGTACCGTGCGGCGATTGTCGCTAACCCCCCCCCCCCCCCCCGCGCTCACCCTCACCCCCGGCCAATTGCGGGGGTGAGGAAGGTGGGGAGGACGAGTTCTACTACGGCGACGCGTATTCGTCGCCACAATCCCCGGCGCCCACTCCCCGCGCCTCACCCCGTGCATCGCCCCGATCATTTACACTGAATCGGGGCGACTTCGTACGCGGGAATACAAACCGACCCGTCCACCGAGTCGGTCCCACCTCCCGTCCCGTCACCGAGGACGAGGACCCCACCGTCGTTCGCGGCGGGACCATCGTCCCAGACCGCGCCGGTAGCGTCGGCCCCCCCCCAACCCACGGGGAGTGAAGGGCCTGCCACACAGGCGGCGAAATACCCGCCAATAGTGGCAGAGAGGCTGCCCAACTGGACCCGCCACTTTCAGGAGCTGCCGAGGGTCCTGGGTGAGGCGCCCAATGCCCGCACCTTTAGCACGGGATTCCGATTCCTCCCGAGGTCGGATGCGGAATTCCGTGCAGTACAGAGATATCTGGTGGAGGCTAGCCAGCGGGACCCCACCATCAGCTGGTATTTTTACAGCCTGGCCTCCGAGCTGCCGACTAAGGTAGCCATAAGGGGCCTACCAGCAGACACTCCCATAGACAGCATAGTGGAGGCCTTAGAGCACAAAGGACTCGGGGTGCGACTGGTGCGCGGCATACCGGCGCGCCGCGGGCGTCCGGGCTGCATATTTCATGCGCAGTTCGACCCCATGACGAAAGAGGAGCTCGCGCGGCTATACGCCATCACGGAGCTCCTCTGCATGAGGGGAGTTGTCATAGAGGCGTGGAAACCCGCATCGGTGCTTGCGCAATGCCACCGATGTCAGGCGTTCGGACACGCCTCAACGAACTGCCATCGACCCATCAAATGCGTCCGCTGCGCGGGTGACCACATGGCAGCGGACTGCGACCGCCCGCGGGACGAAAAGCCGACCTGCGCAAACTGCGCCAAGCCGCACACCGCTAACGACCGCAAATGCGCGGTCTACAAACGTGAGGCCAGGCAGAGGGGAATCAAACCCCGCCCCCCCTTCCCCCCAGCGCCCAGTACAGCGCCCAGGGCGCAACAGCGTCGCGGAAAACCCTCCGCGACGCCGCGTACATACATCGCGCAGGTCCCACCTCCCACAGTGATGGTAGAGGTCGCCGGCGCCTGTCTTATGGCGCCGGCAAACGAGCCGACGCAACGCGGCGCCGGCCCCGACGCTCCTAAAAAGCGGCGCCGGCGCAGACGCGCTAAAAAGACCGGCGTCGAGCCAGTTAAGGCATCGACGCCGATTCCCCCGCAACATGTCAGGGGGCCCCCAGTAGCAGCGGTACCGACCGAAATGCAACGGGGCCCGCGAGCCGTGCCTCGCCGCCGCCAGGCGGCGCCACCGGCGCATAATATGCCGATAGTGGCTGCCGGACCGCTATTGGCCGGCGCACAAAAAGCTCCCCCCCACCTCCCGCACCCCGGGCTGCGCGTTCGGCGCGCGGATTGCCCGTGACAGAAAAATACACACAAGCGCCCGTCAACAGTGCATTAGAAATGCTGATTAGCCTGTTGACGGAGCTGCTGCTCGCGCTCGCGGCCGGCGTTGATATCAAGTCGGCGGCGATTAAAGGATTGGCCAAGATAAACCAGTACACTAATGGTGAGTGAGCTCAGATTAGTGTACTGGAACCCCGGGGGAGTGAAGGATAAAATCCAGGACCTCCGTCACCTAGCTCGCACCCAGGATGTACATATTATACTCCTGGGTGAAACGAAGCTCGCAGCAAAGGAGACGTTGAGGGTGCCTAACTACCACGTGTATAGACACGACGAAACGTCGCCGACGGGCTACGCGTATCGCGGTACTGCGGTACTAGTCCGCCGGGACGTGGTCCACGTGGAGTTAGAGCGCCCCGAGTTCCGCGTCATGCGCACCACAGGGGTGCGCATCAACGTCGACGGCGCGGAACTGAAGGTCCTGGCAGCATACTGCCCCCCGGGTCCCGAATTCTGCCCCTCCGATATCCGGAACGTTCTTGATGGGAGGAGCCCTACCCTGTTAATGGGCGACCTCAATGCGAAGCACACGGCTTGGGGTTCCCGTCGTGATTCGCAGGAGGGTCGTAGGCTCCTCCGGGACTCTCAAGTCCATGGGTATGAGGTGTTGGGGCCCGCACACCCCACCCACATACCCACAAATCCCAACCACAGCCCAGACGTTCTGGATATTGCCCTAGCGCAGGCTGTGCCCTGCCCGGTGACACTGGAGGTGCTGTACGACCTCGATACGCAGCACCTCCCTGTCCTAGCCACGCTTGACCTCTCCACCACCACCACCCAGACGAGATCGTCCAGGCGGCGGATGGATTGGTGCGTTTTTCGCTCAGAGCTGGATCACCTGCACCTCGACGGCGACCTCACAACGCCCGAGGGAATAGAGGCCGCCTCAATTCTCATGACGAAGCGCATCCGCACCGCCATGGAGGCGGCCACCACCATCATCAACGGGACTTCTCGGCGTCGAGAGGAGCTCCCACACCACCTGCGCGAAAAACTCGCCCGTAAAAGAGATCTCCGCCGCCTATGGGCCCGCACCCGCTGCCCGCGGGTTAAGCGTGAGCTCAACTGCCTGGCTGCGGAGCTGTCGGATAGGATGCTGGAATGGCGTGGCTCCACCTGAGAGGCCGTCATCTCCCGGGCGGACGAAGACGCTACCTCCCTATACGCTCTAAACCAACAGCTCACAAACGCACGACCCCCCGTCTGCCCGTTGCTAGACGAAACGGGCAGACGTTGTTACGCAGCCCAGGACCGGGTAGAAATCCTGGCACAGCACCTGGAGGGGCAATTCACGGCCAATCCCGTCGCCGCCGACGCACCTAGCACTGTCGTCGAGCACCACGAGCGAGTCGTACGTCGCGTAAGTGAATTTCGTACCGCTCCGTCGCCGGACGTCAATGAAGTGAACTTCATCTCGCCCGGCGAGGTAAGGCGGCTCGTCAGCCGCCTGCCGAAGCGCAAAGCGCCCGGAGCGGACGGGATCACTACAGCAGCGCT